TTCCACAGACCCCCTTCCCTAAATCCCATTCCACAGACCCCCTTCCATAAATTTCCTTCCACACACCAGGACCTTCCTGTGCCCTTTTCCCTGCAAAAAAACAAAGGCCCTGTGAGAGAATCAAATGTGCTTTTTTTTTTTTTTTTTGGCAGGAGCCAGAGGCTGGTCGGAAACGGTCCCTAAATGCCACTGGCACAACTGGCACCTGGAAGTGCATTTTGTCTGGCAGGAAGGGTTGTGGGATTTATTGGAATTTCTTTGCTCCAGAGCTCTGTCCACGTAAGGAATGTTTAATTTTGCTGCCTCTCCTCAAAGGCAGCACGAGGCAGAGGTTTCCCCCAGCCCTATGGCACTGAGCACCAAACTTGCTCTTGGGGTGACCTGAAGCTCTTCCAGGGTTTTTTTTTTTTTAGACTGGAGAAACACTTGCAGATCCCAGAGATCCCAATAAGAGCCCATTAAATAGGAGCAAACTCCCTAATATCCTGTTTTTCCTTGCTGCCTTAAGCCAAAGGGAGAAGAAAGGCTGGGAAGAAGCATCTCCAGTGACTTTGTTCCTGGAGGGGATGGCAGCAGTGGGAATTTGCCTGCAGGCAGGAATGCAGTGAGGCTTATTTGGGTTTTAGCTGTTGGGATGAAAGGCAGAGCTGTTCCTGCAAGGACAGTTGAGCTTTTCCTGCAGATCCAGCCAGGCAGCAAAAAAAAAAAAAATCAGGTTGTGCTGAACTGTGACTTTGGCCAGATGAGCTTGGCAGGGAGTGTTATTTTGTGGTTAAACTGAGGCATCCAGGGCCTTTTATCAACTCTATTCACCACATTTAATTATGAGAGACTCATAAACTATGCATCTTCTCTGATTTATGTATTTATATAAGTATATATATGTATATATTATATATAATATATATTATATATAATATGTACTGTATTATATATATTATCTATAAAAATATACACTTTTATATATATATATACACACACACATGGGTTTTTTCTCCTTATGCACCAAGAGGTAAAATCAAGTGATTCTTGGTGCTCACATTGTCTTGTTTTATGGGTTTCAGTTCTCTGACTGTTCTTTTGGAGCTGCTCTGAGGTGAGAGGAGGCTTTGGAGCCGCTCAAAGGGGAAGATTCAGGCAGCAGTTTTGGCAAAGTTGCTTCCTGGCTGCAAAGCTCAGAGTGACAGAGAAATGGAGCCCTAAAAAGTGTAATATTTAAACTGGCCAGTTAAGCAGGTTTAGAAAGGGGTGGGAGGTGGTTGGGAGGTGGGTTGGGCACAGAGAGATCCTGCAGTCCCTGAGGGGACACAGGAGCTGTTGGTGGTGGGGAGGAGATGGAGAGGGAGGGATAGGAGAGCAGCTCTCAGCCCCCTGCCATGGCTCGGGGCAGATTTTGGGGTGAAACAAGTGGTTCCAGACCAGACACAAAGAAATCTTCCTGTCTGATTTTTGGGGTGAAACAAGCGATTTCAAACCAGACATATAAACTCTTCCTGTCTGATTGTGGGGTGAAACAAGTGGTTCCAAACAGGAGAGAGGGTCAGAGGGGCACCTGGGCACCATCAGTGATGCCAAACTGCACCAGAGGGGGAACCCAACAATATTTCACAACACCACAGAACCTCAAAATCCCAGAAAATGCTGAGCTGGAAGGGACCCCCAAGGATCCTGGAGTCCATCCCTTATCCTGTCCCCAAGAGCCACATTTCTGCAGAGCCAAAAGGCCCCGTGCCCCATTCCTGACTCCAAATCCTGGCTCTGGGGGGGGGATTTGGCTCCCAATATCTGTGCAGAGCCAGGCAGTTCATTGGGTTGTTGCCTCTGCAATGGAGCTTCACCTCTGAACACGGCAGAAGTGGAACCTCCGTTCAGTCATTAACAGAACTCTGAGAGCTCAGCCATTAATTGAGAGCCAATAATGCTTTTCCATCCCAGTGACTCGGGGAATTGTTCCTGGGAAGGCCCAGACTTGCATCCTCATCTCCCTTCCCCAGGCAGTGACCAGGAGCTGGACCTTCTATCATTTCCCACACCTTTGGATCAGGGGATTTGGGATTTGCTGCTTGTTGTTCACTCTTAGGAAAATGTAACAAGTCTGCCCGGGCTCTTTAAAGCTAATGTTGCATGAAATGCAGGAATAAACCAAAGCAGGCAGGTCCAGGAGTACAAACATCCCAGCAAACTGCTCTCCCATCACCCTGGCTCTTCCAAATGGGTTTATTATGTAAAATGGCTCGGTCTGGAGAAAACTCACCACTGCCAACACAGCAGTACCAGGCAGGGATTTAATTCCTTATTTAGATAGGAAATTTAAAGGAAATCACACCAGACCCAAGCAAACCCCTGACAGGACTTGTCACCACCTCGTTCCCAGACTGAGGAAGTGCTGAAAATTGACTTTTTTTTTTTATTACAGGAAGGTTTAATTTACTCCAGGGGCTTCTCATCAATAGGAATTAGTGCCAAGAGACCTGTCTATGGATTAACCCTTGGGAACAGCCCTTTTTATACCTGTACCACCCTTGGGGAGAGGTTATTACAGTTATTGAAC